GTTGTATTTTTTAGTTAAGAGATCAGCAACTTCATTCCTCAGTTTCTTAATAACCCTTGGGTGGATGCCATCTGGGCCTGGTGACTTATTTATCTTCAATTTATCCATTAGGTCTAAAACATCCTACCTTTTAACCTGTATCTGATGTAATTCATTAGTCAGGAGGGGCTGTTTGGACAGCGGAATCTGTTGTGAAGATAGATGCAAAGAACTCATTTAATTTCTCTGCAATCTCCAAGTCCCCCTTTCCCTCCCTCACCATCCAGAGGGCCAGTGGCTTCTCTGGCAGGATATCTGCTTCTAACACTTTTAAAGAAGCTTTTATTACTCCCCTTTATATTGGTGGCCATACGTTCCTCGAAGAACTTTTATTACTCCCTTTTATATTGGTGGCCATACGTTCCTCGAAGTCTTTCTTTGCCTCCGTATCATCTTACATTTCTTTTGCTAGAGTTTGTGTTCCTTTTTATTTTCCTTATTTAGGAAGGATTGCTATTTATGCAAGGACCCCTCTTTGCTCTTTAAAGCCTCTCTAACTGCTCGTTAACCATGCTGGCACCCTCTTGACTTAGTTGACCCTTCTTTCTTTGCAGTATACACTTCCGCTGGGCCTCCCCTACCATTGTTTTAAATCGGCTCCATGCACTTTGGAGAGACTGGATTCTTTTTACATTCCCTTTCAACTTCTTTCTAACTAGTATCTTCATCATCATCATCATCATGGAATTGCAGAATTGAGAGGGACTTTATAGATCACTGAATTGTTTAATATATAGTCAGATAATGCACATAGAATGAAAACACATTTATTCATTCTCAACTGTATTCACAATCCTGCTGCAAATCCAAGTGTTATCATCTGCAGTACAATGAGGGACATGGGCTTCTCTACTTCAAGAGTGCATAAAGCGACCTGACTACAACCGTTCAACTCTCGTGTCTTGTCTTCCCTTGCATGTGGGAAGCCCAATCCCACAAAGTAAAGCTCCAGTCTCTCATTCGATTCTCAGAGGAAGTCTCTGTAGAAACATTGAAATTGGATCTGCTCCTTCTGTCTTCAACAGGCCAAGACCAAAGGACTTAGGTGATCCTCCTCTCTGCTGGTCCTCCTCGACATCTTGGCAGCCTTTGATGCCGTCGACCACGGTATCCTCCTGGGGAGGCTCTCCAAGTTGGGAATTGGTGGCTCGGCGCTTGCCTGGCTCCGTTCCTTCTTGGAGGACCGGCCCCAGAGAGTACAGCTTGGAAATATTATTTCGGTCCCATGGAGTTCCAATTGCGGGGTTCTACAGGGGTCGATTATCTCCCCAATGCTGTTTAACATCTACATGAGGCTGCAGGGGATGTGGAGCATCATGTCATCAGTATGTGGATGACACCCAGCTCTATATCTCCTTTTCACCAACTGCAGGTGATGTTGTCCTGTCCTTTCAGCGCTGCCTGGGGACCGTACTGCAATGAATGCAGGAAAATGGGCTGAGGCTGAACCCGGACAAGACGGAAGTTCTGAGGGTGGGGGCCCCTTTGGCTGGTGGCCTGGGTGACTCTCTCTCGTTTGGGGGAGTGGCCCTGGCTGCGAAGAGCAGGGTCTGCAGCTTGGGTGTACATTTGGACCCAACGCTCACCATGGAAACACAGGTGGCGTTGGTAGTCCGTACCGCCTTTTTCTACCTTTGGCGGATAGCCCGGCTGCGGCTCTACCTTGACACGGGGGCACTCACTACCTTGGTGCATGCGCTCGTAATCTCAAGATTAGACCACTGTAACACGCTCTACGTGGGGCTGCCTTTGAGGTTGATGCGGAAACTTCAAGTGGTGCAGAATGCAGCGGCCAGACTCCTTACTGGAGTGAGAAAACACCACCACATTTCTCCTATTCTGGCCATGCTGCACTGGCTGCCCATTCACTTCTGCATTGACTTCAAAGTTCTAATGCTTACCTATAAGCAAACAGAGTTCAATCAGCAGGTGGGTATTTGTTGTCCAATTACCTATCCCACCACTTCCTCATTTAGAAAGACAAAGTTTTGCCCACCATCTTGGTTTGATGTAGTTCAGCAGGACTTATTAAATCCCTGATTCACTGTATATATGAAACAAAGAAAGTGAAGGGGAGTGTTACAGTTTACGACCATATACTTCTTCATGTGCAAACAAGTAATCAGTATTACAGGATGTACAGAAGTAACAGAAATAAAAATTCAGCCATGACAAGCTCACTATATCCAAATAGAATCATTCAAGAGGCCTTTAAGGGCGATTATTCATTGAGGTGGGGAACTTAAATAACCAGCCAACACACACTCCAGTAACTAGTGCTCTCTTCTGGCAGTTCTCTTCACATTCCCTTTGCTTAAAATGAAGAAGCACAGAAGTCAATATGTAGAGGATTCTTTGGCATTCAGCCATGACAAGCTCACTATATCCAAATAGAATCATTCAAGAGGCCTTTAAGGGCGATTATTCATTGAGGTGGGGAACTTAAATAACCAGCCAACACACACTCCAGTAACTAGTGCTCTCTTCTGGCAGTTCTCTTCACATTCCCTTTGCTTAAAATGAAGAAGCACAGAAGTCAATATGTAGAGGATTCTTTGGCAAAGGTGACCTGAAGTCAACATACTGTATGAAGAAGCATAGAAGTCAATATGTAGAGGATTCTTTGGCAAAGGTGACCTGCACACTCATCAAAGCAACCATTTTATATAAGTAGTATCTATCATATCCCCCCTTCCCTGGAAAAGACCCTGATGTTGGGAAAGTGTGAAGGCAAGAAGAGAAGGGGACAACAGAGGATGAGATGGATGGACAGTATCATTGAAGCTACCAACATGAATTTGACCCAACTCCAGGAGGCAGTGGCAGACAGGAGGGCCTGGCGTGCCCTGGTCCATGAGGTCACAAAGAGTTGGACATGACTAAATGACTAAACAACAACATCATATCCCCCCAAATCCTTGAGAAACCAGCCCTCTAGGTACAACAGATCACACTGGCTGAGCCTAAACAGATAAGATGATGTAGATAAATACTGCCATAAAATATTGTGCACATATTTTAAATTTATCTTCGGTGTTTCTTTACTAAAAATCCTTTTCCCTCCTCTCCTAAAGAGTCCTCTATTATCAGTGGTTTGTACTGAGAAGAAAAACAAGCCATAAAGTATTTAGTATCATAGGTCAGAAACTGAGCCACTCTTTGCAGCAGTCTTTCAAGAGGCTGCTATGAAATTTGCTCTCTATCAGACTTATAATGCTACCTTTAACTGTAAGTCGAGCCGTTTGTAAGTCGAGGGCCCACTGTATTTAGTATCATAGGTCAGAAACTGAGCCAGTCTTTGCAGCAGTCTTTCAAAAGGCTGTTATGAAATTTGCTCTCTATCAGACTTATAATGCTACCTTTAATCTTAAAGATCTCAGAAAATCTGAGGGATAACCAGATGTAACTTACACATGCTCCAAGAGGGCACCATGAAGCGCTGTCTGTTGTATCTCTAATATTTGGAAAATATTAAAAATCGACATGTTTCTCAAAGTACCATTTATTTATCAGACATTTTAAAATGTTCTTCTTTAGATACATTTTAGGAATCAAGAACACTTAACAGGCCACATAATTAGTTTAAGAATATAAAGGAAGCAGACCTGTCAAAGGGAATGTACCTGAAACCTATACTGAAATTAGTTGAACATTAACAAATGATAGGAAAATAAGCGATGTCACACTAGGCTAGTTTCACAGACATATTTGGTTTGTGCTAGCTAATAAAAAAGGAATATCTTTTGCATTATAAGTAAAAACAAAGGAACCTCACATGATATGCATTGTTCTGAGTGTTTTATTAGTTTCCTCCACATACGGCATTACCATACAAATGATCACAACAGCCAGCACCACAAAAAAGTAGCAGAACAGAGAGGGAGAAAGCAATTATGAACAAGATCAGGTGACCCCTGAGGCAGGAAAACCTGTAATGTGCAATATGATATAACCCAAGGTTAACCATAAGTTGTGACAAAACATACTAAATAAGAATACATTTTATATAGCAAATGAATTACTGCTCCCAAATCCATTCTAACAGTAACTCTCTTATTTGACTGTATGCTTGCATTCTCTCCTGGCATCAACCATGAATTCATTTTAAGTGAGAAAAGGCCCAACACAGTGGCCACCCACGGAGCCATAAACTAAATGATGACATTTTTCAAACATAAGTGGGATATGAACCTCCAACTAGGATGAATAGCTATATGTACAAATGGGAGAAGGAAAAATCACTAGCACACTGTGCTGGCTGAAGGCAAGGTTCAATTTTAATAAAACACATCAAAGAAATGAAAACAGCTTGGCACTTAATGAGCAGGGACTTGAAAGTAACATACAAGCTTAGGTGGAGCCTGGTATGCAGAACACAAATCTGGGGAGAGTAATGTGGTAGGGGAAAGGACTGAAGCATGGTTGAAATGCATGGAATTCAAGGGTTGATGATAAGATAATGTAAAGCTGATAAATTACATGTATATAAGCTACCTTCTTGTATTAATAAACTGAGCAGATGAAAAGTGAGATTTCTAACCATTTCATGTACAGGGGTGATATAGGAATGTTAATCTACTTTACTAGTTTCAAATAATTCCAAATTAACCTTGAGAAAAAGTGGGGGTCCTTGTGTTTATAAATACGGGGGTGGCTGCTACAAGCCCATGTATAGTTAACCAAAAATTCCATAGAGACAGTTAATTAAAATTAACAGTTACACAGGAGGAAGGGAAATAGCATAATTAACAGCAGCAAATTGCCACTAATTAATAAGTCCCTGTTTGGATTCCTCATACATGCCAGTTGGGTTGTTAAAGGCTAAATCACTGCTCAAGGCATATATGTCTGATCATCAGGCCTTCTGATCTGATTCAGTACAGGGCTTAGTACACAACGAGGAATCCAGGTGGAGTTTCTTTAATTAGCGACAATTTGTCACTGGAAGCTATATCTTTCCCCTTCCACTCATGTAACTAAGCAACCGGAGTTTGGTCACTAGGATTAACAACCAATCATTCTAATCACTCTGGTTCAAGAAACTATTTGATTTTCAACTTAGGTGTCATGGATAAGCTGATAAATACGCCATATACACTCTGCAATGAGGTCGGCACATAAGTCTCTTTGAATCTCTGTGTGCAATATGTACAACTTAGTGCTGGCTTCACTTTTAAGACCTGTCTTACCCTATAATTTGGATTCATTATGTAATAATAATAACCCTACACTTTCCACAATGCAACTACTACATGAATGCACATTAATGAGAAAGAGAAATAACTAAGTGAATCAAATAAAAATATTTTGCAATGGCAGATCTGACAAGACATCTAGGAATGTCAAGTGACTAGTACAACAAATTGCCATTATTTCAAATGAAAATTTTCCCTTACCGTAACCCATTTCTCTGATCAAAGGCAGGGATCATAGAACTCGGGTGCTCTGACATGAGAGCAACGACAAGTTGTAGGACATCCATTAAATTGTCATCCTGTTAAATATAAAGGAAAATGGACCTTCAATTGATACCCAAAGTTATGGTATAATCTTAGCAAAGAAAAATTGTACTGGTTTCACCATTGCACATTGGACAGAATCTTACTGTGTACTTCTGTCAATGTACCTTTAGCAGCATAACTCTCAGCAGCATGCTAGCGCAAGTTAAAAAATCAGAGTTGACTTAATAGCACATCATCAATCATCATCATCATCATCATCATCATCATCATTATTAAATCACACTAGGCACTTTCTATCCTACTAGGTTGCACCTTCATGCAATGACTACACTGACTTCGTAACCTACGGCAATTTACTACTGAAAGTTACGTTGCTGAAGTTACACCACTGGGCATAACCTAGTAGGATTCCAGCCATTAAATATAATGAAATCAATTTATTGGAGTTGGGGAAGAGAGCACAGATGCTCACGTATAGTTTTTTTCTTTCAAAATGACTCCACTAATATTCAGGAATCTAGACACTGGGCTGGACACAGAATACACGGGGTAGGGCCAGGAATGTGGCTCTACATTGCAGTAACCACGGAATTCTTCTTCTGTCATGTCAGTAAACATGTGGATTTATAATGAAGAAAAATAAAATTTATTTATTTATTTATTTATAGAGGGGGGATTTTTTCAACCATCAAAAAATCATGTCAAGGCATCAAAATAGAGGGGGAATGTGATGAGAGGGAGTCAACCATCAAAAAATCATGTCAAGGCATCTTAATTAGGAAAACATCCAGGGTAAGGCTAACAAGAACCTGAAATTTAGTGACATACTAGCAAAGACCATCAAAGTTGTCTTTGGTCCCAAGTATAGGGACGAGAGTATTTGGCATTTATTTATAACCACAGACTTTTGAAAAGAATCATGCAAACTGTAGCTATTTGGGTTGCGACTATATATATTCATTTACACACCTAGTTACTTTTCCAAAATAAAACATAACAAAATGTGACACAACACAACAAAATGCTTTGGGACCTTTCAGACAGAAACCACAACTACCATTTTTGAATCTCAAGGAGTGTTTGAGGGCATAGCTATGGCATAGATCTGTGCAGTTGAAAAAACAGTGGCACTTTAAAAAAAATCCATGGGGAATGCACCAAGCTTTTAGGCATGCCTAAAGTAACTCTTTGGATCCCAGCCATTAGGCACCAGCTTAGGGGCCCACCAAGTTTGATATATAGGGGAGGAGGGTTGGCAGAAGAAATCTACACAATTTTTTCCAGTTCTGCTTCTATAAATTCAACTTACGTCAATGAGTCACCCATGAATAACTGGGTGCAAGACTGCTGCTGCTGATTGTAACACTAACCCTGAAACCACTTACTGGCAAAATGTCCCAGTGGGCAATCAGTAAAACAATTTGCAGGTAAGCTATTTCAGGCTCCAATCTTGAATTTGCAAGGGGGCCCTGTTTCAGGTTTCTTCCAAAGTGAAACTATTTTTTCTTTTCCTTTTTTTTACATACAGAAACTGGTGCTAGATCTTATGTTTTCTGGAAATACTTAAAATAGAATTGAAAAGAGGGGGGGACACTAATATGCAAAAATGCCAATTGAAAGCTACTATCCTAAAAATAAATTGCAATTCGAAACAGTTTTTTTAAAAAAATGGAAAAGCACTAGAATGTGTTCCAAGTGGTAAAGTGATACTATGAGATGCTTAATTTACAGATAGCAATTTTGGTGGAATGCAAATCTATCTTTGAGATTTGTTTAATCTTTGGGTGCTGCCTGGGATGTTGCCTCCTGGTTCTCAAAGAGGCACTTTTGCTTTCCAGTGCAGTATTACGACAATAAACATGTATTGGTGAATGCTTGGGATAGAGAGGTAACAGAATCTATACTTCTTGAAGCAAAATTCAATTAATTCTTTATTCTACCCATGTCAAGCACCCTGAAAGAACATTAGTTTGGTTAGATTTATGTTTCAGTTTTCTAACTCTTTCATGTTACATCTGGCATCAAGCATTTGCCTGGTGCTAAAATATCAAGATATAACTATTCCAACAGTAACCAACATTTATGTCCAATTATGTTTACACACTCTGCTTTGAGTTTATTAATGTCTTTATTTTTAAACTCACACTTAGAAAGCATTATTTTATTTAAAAGGCAAAATAAGAGGGAAATTATTTGAACCATACACAACAATCCTTTATAGATGCAACTTTGCCATCTGTTCCCTCATGCAACAGCTCAATGAGCTGAAAAGGAAACTATTAAAACCTACTATGTTAATAAACCTCACTACAATATTGAACAGTATCCTTAAATCATTTACTCACTATTGGTACTTTCTAACAACAGTTGATCTTACGCTTTCCCCCCCCCCCGGTTACTTCAGAAACATCTTGTGGTAGGAGGAGTTATTTTATTCAAAAGATTCTTGAAAGCAAGATTACTCAATCCAGATTACCTCATGAATAGTGAGGAGATAGTTGAGGATGCCTTGGAGTTCATCTTCCTTCACTCCATGATCCTTAAAAGAATAGAAAAACACAAATAAATCATTCATACAAGAATACAAAGAGTAAATTCAAACATAGACTAAATGCTTCTTGTCATAGTTCTGTATTCCTTGCTATCCAGTTTCAGAGTGCCCCCAGAAGAATGAAATGGCAAACCATTTCGAGTACTTTATTCCTAGGGTTGTTGGGAGCAAGAATGAGCAGGACGTATTTGTATTTTCCCGAGTACTTTATACCTAGGGTTGTTGGGAGCCAGAATGAGCAGGACGTATTTGTATTTTCCCCAACAACTTTGACTTATCCTTACAATTTTAGAATAAAGGGTAAAGGTTTGTAACTCTCATAGCCAGAATGCCCCCACAACACACACACACACACACACAAAACACCCCATGGACAAGAAAGCATACAGTCCTTGAAAATCAACTTCTGATTTTGCTGCTCTTGTCACAGCCTTCATAAGTGATTTCCCCACAGTTCTCAAAAAACAGAAGACAATTTCTACAGTCATTGGTCTCAGAATAAACTGTGCTGGGTCTTAGCTTGGCAGCCTGTCTTTAATTTGGCAGTGTTGATTTTAACCTTTAAAGCCCTAAATGGCTTGGGGCCTTGTTATCTAAGGTTGTCTCATAATGAACCTGTCAAAACTTCATGATTTTCAGGAGGGATCCTCCTCAGTTGATGGAGGACCACCTGATAGGCACTCTGGAGAGAGCTTTCTCCTGTGTTGGTCCTAGACTATGGAATGTACTTTCCTTAGGGTTGCAGTCATTTCCCACTTTTGCTCCTTTTAGGGAGACCTGAAAGGTACATCAATTCAGACTAGCCTTTTAAACTCTTTTACTTATTACTATGATTTTATTATTGTGATTTTATTATTTTCCTCTTTCGCCCATTTTTATTATATTAACCACTTTGTGTACTTTTTTTGAAGCGGAAAATAAATCAGTAAATAAAGAGGAGGAAGAACGAGAAGAGGTAATAACAATAGCAACATCAATAGTATCAATAATAGTAATGGTTGTAATAATAATATCAAGCCTGAAACCTAAACAGTGGCTTCTCTGCCTACTGCAACTTTGCTCTCCCCCACTCTGTTTTGCCTCCCTAAAGAAGAGTTCTGAACCAAATTAAGCCAACCTTCAAAAGAAGGATGAGACCAATCTGAAAGAACTCATCTTTTATTTATTTAGTTGTTTTGCAAGTCGAATCTAAATTTTGCAGCCAGAGAAGTCTGTAACTCGAAAAGTCTGTAAGTCGAGCCGTCTGTAAGTCGAGGGTCCACTGTAGTATCAAGCCTGAAACCTAAACAGTGGCTTTTCTGCCTACTGCAACTTTGCTCTCCTCCACTCTGTTTTGCCTCCCTAAAGAAGAGTTCTGAACCAAATTAAGCCAACCTTCAAAAGAAGGATGAGACCAATCTGAAAGAAGTCATCTTTTATTTATTTAGTTGTTTATTTATACATTTCTATCCTTCCTTTCCCTTGAAAAGATTTACATTGACATCAAATCCTAAAAACAAATAATTAAGACTGCAGAAAATGAAGTACAGCCTCCAGCGTTTCATGCTGCTAATAAGTGACATATTCAGCCATAAGTAACCCCAGTCAGGCTGGCAAAAGAGAGAGGGTTGTTGTTTTTTACTATCTGTAGTGAAGTCCATTGAGCAACACAAAAGCAAATCAGACAGCAAACTTATATTTCTTGGAACAAGGTGGTATTCAGCTCTACTGACGTGGAGATTTTAAAATATAATCACAAACACTGTCTTCCTCCCACCAATTCCTAGCTAACCAGAGAATGCATTTCTCATCTCCTTCTCCCTGAGATGCACACTGCTCATAACAAAAGGTTCACCACTCTACACACAATATGTGAAGCCCTGCACAGAGAACGACAATTGTAAAACAGTGTCTCAATTTACATATGCCTTACCTTCATCACCAACTGCTTAACAAACATCAACAAAAAAGCTCGCAAGGAAAGAATTTCTTTTTGATTAGGCCGGGCTCCATCTTGAAAAGAGACATAATAGTTTTTACCATGAAATCCTTCATATATTTACAAACAAATTACAGTAACTCCCCCACTGCATCCCAACACACAAATACTGAAAGCATTCTCAAGCAAACTGAACATTTCAATCATTGCTCTTCTTTTAGTTCAGTCATTCAATGTTAACTGAAGCCAAGCTAAAGATATCGACCTAAAATGTTTTCACACAAATAAATGAGCTTCAATTTAAAAGGCAGATGGCTACATAATGTTTCCTTTCCACATGGAAATCATTTAATCAACAAGCAGCTATATATATTTTCCAGGAAAGAAACATGAACATTCACTATATTCATACCCACTCTGAACTTAGGCATATATCCAGCAAAAATCTATGGGTGCTTCACATTCCATTGTAATATTTTCCATGTGTATTTCTTCTACATGGAGACAAACATTGACCCTAATAAACTGCTTTAAAATGTACCTTTCTACATTGGTTAGAATTTTGAATCTTGACTTACATTTTCTTTAGAAGTGTCACAAGAGTTTACGGGATATATTACCCAGAAAGCTGCAAAGGCATTCATTTTTCTAAAGCCTTAATACAATACGAGTTCCTTCCTTCAACACCTTTATCAGCTGTAATTTTAAAACCACAACTCCTATGCAGCTTGCACCATTCCTAACTTACATCTTTAAAAAAAAAACACCTGGAAAAATCCATCTTAGGAGTCCAAGTTCTTCACATTAATGACAAGACACTGGCGCAAGCCTGATGAAGTTAGGCCTGATTCACGAAAGTTAGCAGATTTCATTATCTCTTTAGTGATCTATAAAGGTATCATCTTTGACTTTGGAGTTCAGAACGAAGCAGGGCAAAGGCTAATAGAGTTTTGTCAAGAGAACAAGCTGGTCATCACAAACACTCTTTTCCAACAACA